TAAAAGTTAATCAATTGATATATATATATATAAGATTTTTTGATAATATAATATTTGATAATATATATTTTACGATAATTATAAATAATTAGTTACATTATTTAATTTCCGTGTATTACTCTTTTCTTTTGTCATAACAATGTGCGAATGTAATAAAATAAATGATAGAATAAACTGTTTATATATGTATATTAACACAATAGCAAATAATCTGATTTAGATAAATATTTAATTAAATATACATACGAGTCTCTCTCTCTCTCTCTCTCTCTCTCCCTCTACAGTGTATTAGGCTAACTGTAAGATCTAACCCAATGCTTACGTTTCAAAAATTCAGAATCCAGTTTGTCCTGACGATTGAGCAGTGCTGAACGAGGCTGAGAAAGGCCCGATGTTAAAACTCGCGCTCTGTGAATTCGCCTCGCTATGTCCTCCACCATAAGGACCACCTCCACTTACAGATCCTGCTGATGCTGAGGCAAAGGACGCTCCTTGTCCATGGTGATGGCCGCCGTAGTCCGGTTGCCATCTGTGTGAATCGAAAGGTAAAATGCAAACGGTTATTTTGCACATTTCAGTTCACAAATACTTGTGAAAAACTACAGATTTTTTTTTAACTTATCATATACAAAGAAATGATAAAATAATTTAAATTGTTACGTCAACATATAAAACAGGTTACGACTATTGTTCTTTAATCAAATAAAATAATATTCTACACGTACCCTCCGTATCCTCCACCACATCCATATCCCCCACGACATCCATATCCTCCAATGAGACCGTGTGGCCTATGAGGTCGAAATGGTTTATAGTGATGATATTTTCGTTTATTTCCATAACGGAAATAGTACGCATCATCATAATCATTGTAATCATAATCATTGTAACCACCTAACAAACCGAATTGCGGTGATCTTTGCTCTCTCGTAGTGTCTAAAGTAATATAAGTATTTATTCCGTTATACATTAATATTTAAATAATATGCTAGTTAGATATTAATATTTATAATAAATAATATTTTAGTTAGAGATAAGTATAATGCATAACTTTCTCTACAAGAAGAAATAATCTAAAAAAATTAAGAAGTGGTGTAAACATCATGTAATTGAAAATGCATAAATTTTTACACTTTTGTTAAAATAAAAATGGTTTTTTAAATAAATATTTTTTTAAACAAAAGATGTGTTCGTTATAAAAAAGATCTTAATCCATCAAATTTAAATTTTTGATTACCATTTTCGGAGAATTCGTTTACAATCGAGGCGACGGGATCTAACACATCAGAATTGTCTATCTTTTCCATTGGCTTACTAAATGATTCTCTTAGAAAAATTGCGCTAAGCGCTGCTATTAAAAGTAAACTTCTCATCGCGAAACGGAAATGTCACTGTTACTTGTTAAACGTCTAGGAAACGATTCAAAGCTGATCGTTCGTTTCACGTGCTTTTATATCCTTTCACCGTTGAAATTCAAGGAAAGTCATCCACAATTTCACAATGTCGGCAACTCTGAATGTTAAAAAGCGGTCATTGGTCTTCAAAAAGTAGACGACCTTCCGTTTCAGGGACGACCGGAAGTAGGCCGAAGACATAAACGAAATCCTCACTTCGATGGATAATATTGACGTAAGTTTGATTTCGACCGTGTGTCCGACAGTATTACATACTTAAGTTTGCTCTCGTGTTATGTACACATCTACTACATACCTACGTTTCTCGTGATTCAAGAATAAAAGATGATCTCTTCTCCGCACTGTCTTTTTTTTTAATTTCAGCATTACTATTTACTAATATAATGTAATATAATATTATAAGTTTCCATATTTAGAAAATATAACAGGACATATAACGTTTGATTCAAAATTTTTTATATTTTGGTAGTTATGCACCTCCCAAAAATAGACTTTGGTGGCTCGGGATAAGAGACTTGTAGCGTCTCTCAGTTTTTGAACATGGCCAGAGACGCTACCGCGTCTCCTGATAATATATGCATCATTTATTCGTTAAATGTTCACGCAATTTAAGAGAAAGAATTAAAGAAAGCATATATTTTTATTTATATATATATTGTATTAAAATTTAAAATATTAATTGAGTGGTCGACCTTTCGTTGATGTCCAATGAATGAGAGGAAGTAGACTGAAGATAAACACATGCATGAATTAAGTTGTTACAACATATCTTAACATGTCATAATTTTGATCACATGTCTTGATCCAAAAACATTACACGCTTACTTAGGGTTTGAACAGAGGATTGCCGTAATATATTAGCGTCGCAAGCGATCCGTATTTCTTTTTCTTTTTTCGATAATTTCGGTTCGAAACTTATCAGCTCGGGGCACGGCTCGGCTCGGCTCGAGACTGATCGGCTCGCGGCTCGGCTCGGCTCAAGGTTCGGCCCGATAGTCTAGACGCACCTTTAAAAGATTTTTTCAGGATAATTAACAAGATGATTTTTGACTTACTTACAAACGATTAGATTACTTACTTTTACTTATATAGCACGCTATCAAGAGACATAGTGATGTCCATTAATTCCAACGTCATACGCCGAAGCTTGTGCATTGCTTACGTCTATAACTTAAATATGTCTTAATGTGTTACGGCAAACCTGTGATCAAATCCTAAAATTTATATATTTTGTGTATATATTTCTTATAATTTTCAAAAGAAATTAAAACTATTTTTTTGTCAGAATTATTTCAAAACTCACTTTGTGAAATATTAATAATAAAAAAATTTTGCGCGCGTATCCTTAATTATACTATATAAATTACATTTATATTTGATTTTATACTAGAATATTATAACTATAAAAACGTATAAAATTAATTATAATACTATTTAATAATATTTATGAACCAAGACAAAACTATTCAAAGAAATTCATTTTACATTCGAGAAACACGTATGTAACAATAATAGTTTATTATACTTTTATTTTAATGATGATTTAAGATATGCAAATAATATTTAAAATCTGTTTACGAAAAATTTCTTTTGCATTTTCGAACTTTTTACATAAATTTAATATATATTAATTATATTTTAACAAAAAAATTATACATATACTTTATATATAAATTATATGATATATAATTATGTAAAATTATATATATATTTTTTTTATTTATTTAAGCATACATCTAGTTCTCAGTTACCACTTATTAAGTTATATACATATATATAATAATTTAAGATATTAATTATTATGATGCGTAAAAAGGAAATGAATATACAATTAATACATATATTAACTGCGACAATTAAAACGCTACGTAGAAAACATCACAAATTTTATTAAATTCTTACATGTTCACACGCTATCACTCGCTTAATAATATATTACATAAGAATGGATAAGAGCTGCTGCAAAAAGGCACGTCAAGCCCATTAAACACCTATAACGATAACGCATGATAATAAACAATAATTCTGGGAAATAGCTAAATAAATGACATGCGTAGCATAAAAAACGATTATCGATAATTACGTATTAATTGCGACAATCACGTAATAATTCACTGATTCGGACAAACATCGTACACGTCACGATTGATTCTGATGGCATCCCTTCTCTTTTTAGCTTCCTCTTTTTGTTATTCTCTTTCTTTCTTTTTCTTTCTCTCTTTTCTTTTTTCTCTGCATCTTTGCAATTCTCTCTTCCGTTTTCCTTGTTCATACTCTCGCACGTAGAACAAGTCCGACGAGTTTTTATCCCCGTTGTTTCCGACACTCCAGAGACGCCTGCCATCGTGAGAATAAGGATAAAGAGAGACGTTGCTGGTGCCAATCGTGAACGTTATTCTCTGATTTTATAAAAATATATGGGGGCGTAAGCACGCTCACAATCAATTTGATCGTCGAGTATTATACTTACGAGTAGCATAGTTGAGATCGCATTTATCCTTCGAAATCTGAAGAAGTTTTAACTTTTAATTAGAATAAGACAGACTTTTGGTTTTAATCAATACTACATAAACTAAAAAGATATTAAAAAATAAGGTAAATTAGTAGTAATTCTATTAACACCGGGTTATTTTAATCGGGATCTTTAAATTTATTTAAACACATTTGCAGTAGAACTTTTTATAATATCTTTATTACTAGATATCTCATTGACGTTTCGTGTAAATCACAGATTCAGAGTTCAAAGGAGGCGATCTACAGCTAATTATATTTAATTTAAGTACACTTATAAATATAAAAAGAGTATTAAATTAAAATTATTTATTTTAAGTATTTAAATATATTGTGTATATATATATATATATATATATATGT